CACGCGTGAGAGCTAGGAGCCCTGCCCGTCAGGGAGGAGGAAGGGAAAAGGAACAGCGCTTCCATAAAACCTTCAGTGGGAAGGATTCAACAGCCAAGACCACAGACAGCCCATCTTAGTCAAGATAGTATCTTTGGAAGAAAGAGAAGGTACATAATTTAGATCACCTGCCTGTCTACCCTGGGAAAAAAATGCATGTAGCTTCGTTAAAAAAAAAAAAAAAAGGTTTGATTTTCTTTCCTAATAAAGCATTCACTTAAAGAATTTATGACAAGAGTGAAGAAGAATGGGGAAGGAAAAAATAAACCTTACATTCCTATTCTAACAAAGAAGCCAAAGAATGCTTTCTTCGTGTTTACAGCGTGATGCCATGGGCTTCCTAAGACAAAGCAGAACAGAATCTCCGTGTCAGGTGCACAAAGGTCTCAGGTAAACTGACCGCTGCAGAGGCGGCATGGACACGCCACGTGAGTGGGGCACCCACACACGGCAGAGAGAGAAGTGGGTGGGTATTAGGAGCGCCTCCCTCCCGAGCCCGGCGAAGGGCAGCGCAGCCCTTCCTCGCGACTCAGGACACACACACTGCAGTCCGCCGTGTGCGCGGACGCGACAGTGTGGGACGCCAGGGCAGACTCCGCAGCTGAGGCCGGCACCTGACGCTCCTGAGTCTTGCCTGGGGACACTAGTAGAAAGGAGGCAGGTCACACTTCCGGCGACCTCGGAGCCCTAGCCATCCGGCTCCCGTTCCTGCGGAGGGCTGCTCCCCGCACAGGCGGCCCAGAGGGTCGCACCCGCCCTGCTCCTGCCCGACGGGGCTCCCATCGTGGATCCCTGTGGGATCTGCCCCTGCGTGAGCTCCCCTGGGAAGGCATCTGTCTCCTCCAGAGCACACGGCACGTGCAGTCACTGTCTCCCTCAGCCTCGGTCTCTTCACTTAAAAAATAGTGACAGTTACCTTTTCGGCCTTTTCCACGGAGGCGTTGTACGGCTCCAGCGAACTGACACAGATGGAAAGGACTTTGGAACAGGGAAGGCGCCCCGTGCGTCGAAAGCGCACCATCCGGGTGGGCACCACACTCGATGACCGATGAACTCAGACGAGCACAGAGACCCCGGGGGCTCGGCCGGCTCCTGACCCAACCTCGGAGCACTCGGGCGAAATACGAGACTCTGGGAAACGTGTGTCAGGAGCAATTTTGGAATCCCAGCCCCAAGCAGCAAGGATGGTCTCCGCATGCTCTCAGAGCAAGAGCTGCTCAGGTGGAGACGCCTGTCTGCCTCATCCATGCAAGGAGCCCCCCCCCCCCGCCCCCGCCACCCCGCCAAGGCGGGCGCGCTCCCACGGGGCGAAGGCACGGACAGGAGACAGAGACGTGTGCGCTACCAGGCGGCCACGCTGGGCTTGGGAGGCCTGGCCAGTCTAGGCCAGTCTAGCACCTTCGGCTTGCAGTCAGCTGGGAAGCCCGCCTTAAACCTGCCCCTCCAAACCCTTGGAAAGCTCCTGAATGAGAGGCGCCTGGCGCAGGCGGGAGAGCCCTGGAGCTCACAGCCTCACCAGTCTGAGTTCCACTCTGGGCGCCGCAGCTCACAAACTGAACGGCGGCTCCTAATGTGGGGTCAGCAGCAGGCCTGCCCCGCAGGGCGGGTGCAAGGGTTACATCAGTAATGCCCGTATCTCACTAGGTACAACGCTGGGATGCAGCGCACACTAAACAAACCCCTTTTTTCCTTTGGGTGAGGGACAGACTGAGGCTGGGTGATACAGAATCCCCCCAGCTCAGCCCTTCAGTCTCAGGGCTGAGACAGAGCTAAACGTGGGTAGAAGCAGGGGAATCCATCCGGACAACCCAGGGAGAACTGAAGGCAGATGCTAAAGCCTGTCATACAGCCACCATTTCTCCCACGTTGCGACAGAAGTCACGCGAGTGTGTGTGAACTCCACCCCTTGAGCGAGCATAAAAGCCGGTGTCTATTAACACTCAGCTGAAATCAGGTTTCGACGCCCAGAGTAAAGAAGCTTCCAGCACCTTCAGAATAGGACTGTGATGCTGTGTCTGGTTCTTCGGAAGGAGAAAAAAATTCTCAAGGCGAAGCTTTCAGCTGGAGGCCTTTTGTTGGCACAGGTAAGAAGATGGGAGAAACGGAGGCATTCCTACTCTCAAAGGACAAACTACTCCTTGCCTTCGAGAGTGTCTGCCCAGAGAGCAGCAGTGCTACTAGCGGCGGCCCACGGCCCATGGCCCACGGCCCATGGCCCACGGCCGCGAGCACAGCGCGGCCTCCCTGCCCTGTGAGCCCCGCGGCCGCGGCAGGGCAGTGGCAGGACGAGCTCCCTCTACTCACGGCGCAACCCGAGCCGGGCCACTTGAGTTACGTCACAAGCCTTTCGAAGGTCCTACATTTTATTCCTGTAAGAGGCCGATCCAAAGCAGCAACAAAAGAACAGTCAAACAAGAGAAAACACCTCCTTTGTGCTCCTTGAGAAAGACCGTCTTGGTCACCGAAGGGGCACAGTGTTTCTTCATTCTGTATGAGCGCTCTGGCGAAGGTCAGGCCAGTGACTTTCCAGGGGGACCAGCGGCCTCCCACCCGCACCTGTGCGGACACGCAGCGGCGTGGACACAGCGCACTCGCGGAAGGAAGAAACGGGCTGTCCAGCGTCTGGTTCTGTGACACGTCCCGCAGGGGTTAGTCCATTCTCAAACGCTGCCTGACCTGTGACCTCAAAATGTAGCAACTTAAGGTGAATATTCTATTTTCAACCTTTCCTTTCCTCTGTTCTTTAGACTAGATCATTTCTACTGATTCCTCTCCAAATTCACTGACTCTTCGTTACTCTGGCATCTCTGCTGAGTTGTGACCCTCAGTCAGTAAATCTTTTTGAATTTTATTTTGGATACTGTATTTTCGAGTTCTAGAATTTCCAGTTGGTTCTTTTTTTTAGTAGTTTCAATTCTTTGCGATATGCTCTCTTTTCATTCATTAAAAGCACATCCTCCTCTACATTCTTCAGCGCAGTTACAACTGCTTTGAATCCTTGCCTGCTAAGCCTAACCCCTTTGTCGCGGCACAGCCAGTCTCCGCCGATCACCTGCTCTTCCCTTGAGAACCTTCCTGTGTCGAGCGAGTCTGGATGTGTGCTGGACACTGTAAGTGCCATGCTGTGGACACTCCGCATTCTATTAGATTCCTCTGAAGAACTGTTATCTTTGTTTCGGCAGGCAATTATCTCAGCTGGACTTAAGACGTACACTCTTTAGAGTAACTGCTCCAATGTCAACACGACGAGTCTGTCCTGGGCTGGTTGTGCGCTGCCTGCCCCACGTGTGACGCAGGCACCGGCAGTGAGGCAGGGGTCGGCACAGAGAACCTGGGGCCTGCTTCATCCTTCCCGGGATTCCCTCCTTCACCCTCCAGTGGCCGTGGCTGCTTCAGCCTGTCCTTTGGTCCTTTCAGCTGAAAGGCCTGTGGACTTTCCATCAGTTTTAACTGCCCAGCATGACAGACACTGGGTCTTGTTCCAAGTGCCAACTGGACTCCAAATCTGCCCTGTGAGGGTCAAATCTGAGTGTTTTCAAGTAGCTGTCTTATGTCCAGAGTTTATATAGTTATTTGTAGGAAGATCAGTCTAACGAGTCTAACGAGTCTAACGAGACCAGTAGCTTACGAGGCCAATAACAAAAGCAGAGCCTGCACAACTTAGTTATTCTGCCCGATTCCCTCTATTCCTCACACTGTGTATGTGGCGGGGGAGGAGGGTGGATTCCGGGAGGGCCGGAGTGGGGGCGGGGGGCAGGCTCTTCCTGATTCATGCGCCGTGAGCAACTGAGAAACCGACGAGAGCCACTCCCAAGGCAGGTTCTCGCTCACACGCCTGGCCCCTTGTTCCCTCGTCTCCTTCTCTGTCCCCACTGCGTCGCATCCTCCAGGGCTCCTCCACAGTGGCCTGGCGACTCGTGGCATGGCGACCTCAGGGAATCTGTACTTCCTACAGGTGACTGGCTTCTTCTGAGAGGCGCGAAGTGGGGCCTGCCAGACCAGCCTAGGCTTTAACCGAGAAGGCCCGGGGTCACTCCTACCGTATTTCATTGTTCAGAGTCACCACAGGGCTTCGGTCATCCAATTTCTAGCGACGGAGAAGAACAGGCCAACCCCTCATGGGGGAGCGGCAAAGTCTCACTGCACGGAGGCATGCAGAATGATAGGCATGTGTGTGGCCCTCTCGGGAAAACTCGATCTGCCGCACACATGCTCTCTATCTGACAGAGCAACACAGACGCCGCCCGGCGGGAGGCCCGAGGAAGACACGGGCAGGTCAGTTCAACGGGAAACACGTGGGCCTGTCCTCCCGCCGCCTTTTGTCATCGCCCTCTCACGTCAGCAACACAATGACCTCCCAGCGATTCGGCATAAAACAGGTCTCTAATGCAGTCTGCTGAGCTTCCGAAGACTCAGTACTCACATACACTGCGCACTCCTAGAAGAAATGCTTATGGCGCTACCATGCAAAACGAGGAGCACAGACCTAAGTTGAAGTTCACCTGTTTTTTTTTTAAGACGATGTCCGTAATATCAGCAATAACTACTGTTTATGAAGTGTCGACTATGCATTTGACAATTTCTAAGCTTTTCAAATACCCGTTGTCACTGACTGTCCTCTATGTGACGTGTGAGAGTGTGTAAGTGCAGGAGCTTAGGACAAACACTGACCACTCACAGGACAGGAGACTGACTCAGACACTCTAAGGACAAACGATGCAAACCACAAAACCGCAAACATTGACACAGACAAGCACGGCGCCTGGTGCTCCCCTGCGGGCACAGGCACACGTACACACACACACACACACACACGCTGCTCACACACACACACGTATCTCAAGCGCCTGTCTAAGCACTTTAAGGTTTCACTGCAAAACAGCGAACAGACTCCAATTCTAAACACACGGCACTGTCAGTGAAGTCGCGCACATGTGACCCTCGGGAGGAGGCACCCGCACCTTGTCCTGGTTGTCTTTGTTCCGGTAGCACAAGTTTCCAATCAGGCGGATGAGGTGGGACTTGAAGCCCTCGGCCACGCCGGAGACGTCGCCTTCCGCTCTCACGCGGCCCGAGGAGCTGAAGACGTTCGTGCCGACTTTGCCAGCTGCGTGGATCAGCCGTAAAAGCTCTAGAACAGAAAGAACAAACTTCATTTCCCATAGAGAAATTTTCAGTATTCTGAACTAGTTTCCCATACACAAACCATTCATTTTAATGGATTAAAATAGAATAAAGGGAGAGAACTGAAAGTTTTCTTTCATGATTAAAAGACTCTTCTACTTTTGCTTTAAAATCTGTCATGACTGACTTTAGGGACATAAGCCATAATGATCACCCCGACCTGGGCTTTCTATGTATCCACAGAGAAAAGTAGCTAAGGATTCCCCACCACCTTTCTTAGAAAAAGGTTTCTGACTCCACCGTCCGTGAGAGGGCTGACACGGTGACGGGCCAGCTGAGCCAGGAGGCCGCCGGGCTCCCGCCCTCTCACGGGGCCCTCCGCAAACCCGGCGGCGGCAGCAGCCGGGGCGCCACTTCCACAGCGGTTGGCGGTTTCAGAGCGGTTGGCGGTTTCAGAGAGGGGACGGCAACCCGCGGCAGCCCTGGCTCCGAGCTCGGGCCTTCCCACAGGGACGCGTCCCCCCGGGCTCGTGGTGTTTTCACTGGCGCTAAAGGCCCTGAATTCAAAACCAAAACACCGACAGGAGGTCCTACCTGTCGCCTACAGCTCACTGCTCCGCCATCCACCCACCCAGCAGACTCATCTCCCTTGGCACGTGGGTCTCCAGAACAAGCGCCACCTTCTCTAAAGGAAGGACAGCAGACAGCGCAGCGCGGCGCGGGGAGCCTGGCCAAGCGCGGGAACAGGCCCCCCCGAGTCCCTTCACAAGCCACGCTTCAGCAAAGATGGTACCACTTCAAACACTGGCGTCTTGTTTAAAAACAACTTTCTTATGAGAATCTAATACACAATTACTATGTGTGAGCCCTACTATTTGTGCCCCCTAAACGTAATTAGGAAAAGTTTGACTAACAAATTTGGTGAAACTGTGGTAATATAAAAATTGCTATCATCATCATCATCATCATCATCATCATCACCACCATCGGAACCAGCCCCCTGTCGTCACAGCCCCTGCCATGAAACACCCCCAGGCACGCACCCTGTGTGGCAGGCACCGGGACCCCCACGTACTGATGAGGCATCTGCGGCTCAACAGCAGGGAAGTGGCAACAGCTGTGATTCCTCTCAGGAAAAAATATTCCCCCCAAATCTCAAAAATATAACAACACCTGGAAATTACAGACCTGTGTTTGAACTTACAGTACGGTGAGACAAATCAAAGCTTCCCGGCCGCAAACGGGAGCGTGGGGGGACCGACTCACCGATGCCCCTCTCCAGCAGGCCGGGGTGGCCCTGCAGGTGGCCGAGCAGGTCCGTGCTCGCCGTCATTTCACACAGGACGTCCAGGAGCCTGATCGTGGCCAGTGCCTCCTGAAGAGAGAAGGACACAGGAGTTTTTAAGCCGAGCGGAACCGCCGGGCCGCCGTGAGCAGCAGTGAGAGGGTGAAACACGACAGTGAGTATTACAGAGGCCGTGCTTCCCCCACAGCCAGGGAGCAGGGACACCGTCCAGGCACGACAGGGGAGCGAGGGACACACGTGCACCGGTCACGCGCTCTGATGGCAGGCACCATCAGGAACACGCGGTGACGTGTCATTTTGTGTCTCGGAGCCGAGAATCGGAAAGGTTCCTATCCAAGCAAAAATGCTCCCCAACCATGGGATAAATGTTCAAAATTACTAGCTATGCACATAACATTTATGCAAATACTTTCTTTTTAAAGTATTCCCAGCAAGCAAGTTCTACTTTAAAGATACAAATACCCCATGAGCTACATTAATTCCTTGTCCACAGGAATCCTGTAAAATGCTGTGGTTGAAAGAACTCTGGCTACAAGAATGTGCATTATTTCTGGGTAAATATAAATGTATACACAGTATCTTGGAAAAGATCTAAGATGGAAAACATATTATTTGAAAATGTTTGTTCATCTGACTACTAAAGAGTTTATTTTCGAATAGGCTGCATAATCGAGAAACTACCAACTGCCAATGGCATGGCAACAAGGAGTCAAAATGAAATGTTAAAATGCGATTTTTGTACAGACTTTGAGCTAATTTTTAAAGTACACAATATTTAACAAAATGTGGTAGATGCTGTAATTTTAGTAATAAAGATAACGTTCTTTGAAATAAAAATAAATTACTTTTGTTATTTCTAAATATGTATTTATTATTCTCTAGTAAATTTAAAGGTACTATTTTAATATAGCACCTAAAATCTCAAAATAAATAGCAAAAAACAACACATTTTTAATGCCCTGCCTCTTTAATTTTATTTGCTAGCTTTACCTGCTAGTTAAAAAATTAGGGGAAAATACTGAGATGAAGAAGTCTGAGGTGAGTCCCACCTGTAAGGGACCCGAGACACCCACCACCTTTGCTCGGCTGGGGCCGCCCCCTCTTTTGTCAGGTGGGGGGATGCCCCAGCTGTCACCTCCCAACACCCTTTCTCCTTCAGGAAATGGCTGACTGGTTCCAGGTCTGGGACAGACACACACAGGATGATCCAGCACATCTCGTCACACCAGATGGCGGGAAGCTATCTGAAACTAGCAGAGTTATGTCAGAGAAAAATCAGAAGTGACCCGAGAGGCCCCCTGGCCAACAAGGGCACTCAGAAGTTAGGAAGAATTATAGCTACAATGGACTGAAATCACGTGGTTTTAAAGCCAAGACTTCATAATAATTAGAACACAACAAGGCACTCGTCACCTTTGGATGACAACACAAAATCGACTCGTTCCTCGCAATACTGGTAGTGAAGGTCAGAGAGACAAGCTGTACCTTATATAACCCGCGGCTGATTAGGGGAAGATTCTCTGTATAAAATACTGCAGCTAATAAATGAAAAAATGAATGATATTTTGCAACCCCCTAACAATGAATGAGTCTAGTTAATAATCACTAACTAACATCACGAAAGAGACAACCAGACGCTCTGAGCCTCCTGATAAATGTACACGTCACCAACCTTACTTAAAACAGACAAGAAAGGAACCAAATCTGAATAAGCCTCTGGAACTGATTATCATTCACAGGAAATTCAAGGAGAAGAAGAGTACGTTAAAGACCACTACGGAGATATAATCATCAAAATCCAAACGTTAGAAGACTCCACAGATAAAACAACCCAACTTCTTCAACAAATAACTAGCACAGAAAAGAGAAAAAGGAGGAGGTGGAGCGGGGGGGGGGGGGGTGCCGAGGGGAAGAGGAGGAGGGAACCTGTAAACGGAAAGAGCTGAGACCTATCAACCAAATGCCCTCATTTGTACCCCGATTCAATGACATAAGCTTCAGGAAAAAGGGGGCAATGGGGATCACATAGATCCTGTTGATTTGATGCAGTGGCTGTATTTCGGTCAAGCGTGAAAACTCTCCTTATCTTTCAGAGATGCATATACAGTATTCGCTGACGAAATACGGTAAAGCTGTTTTAATCCAGGGCGACTGGCATTAAAGAGAACGGGGGCTGCGGGGAAGGAAGGCAGAGATGAGCACGTGTCGGGCTGGAAGAGGCAGTCAAAAAGCCTCCTTCCAGCTCCTCAACACTGGACACTAACCCAAGTAAACCCCCCACGACATGCTCTATTTCTACCTAACACATCCCTAATTGTAATAAATAGAACCCTTTCATTAACAGAGTATTCTAAGGACCATCTGGAAATTAGCAATGAAGTAACAGCCAGAAAATATTCTCTTAAAAAAATAAGTGACGCGTCCCATGCCCTCCCCGTATTATAAAGCTATATTCACTAAATCAGGCTCTAGGGGATTCACAAAGACAGACGCAGGTAAATCAAAGGTACAAGACTTTCAAGTGGGCAAGAAAGAAAAAAAAGATTTGTCTCCTCTCTAGAAAAGCTGTCTTCGATCTTTAGTGTCCTTGGGCTGTTACAACTGTCAGTCGTAGAAAAATGATAACAATGCAAACGATTCTTGTGCACAGAAATGCAGAGAACCTGTGTCTGGCTGGAACGCAACTAAGCTCGGCCTTGTGCAGGGAACGGTGTGCATGTGCGTGGGCGTGTCGTCTGTAACTCACCGCACACTCTCGGGCAGCTCTTCGAATGCTCTGCCTGTTGCTAATATCTCTTCCTTCCAAAAGTTGGCAATCCAGAAATGGACCCAAAAATGTGTAAGAATTTAATACACGATAGGGGGATTAAGTGGAAAGGATGGATTTATTCCCTATATGATACTGATATAATAATGAATAGATAACATTTAGGGAACACTAGCTATATACACCAGTCCATCGACTAGATGCTTAAATTAAAATACAGTTCATCTTACAGGTAAAGAACCTGGGGCACAGAGAGAAAAATAACATTTCCAAAAGCTGACATCCGCTACTAGAAGAAACCATGATTCAAAACCAAGCAGTCACCAAAGATTTCACAATCTTGGACAGTCAAAAGTCGTAAATGATTCATTTGGATCTATACTTCATTCCTTACTCAAAAATAAACTCAGGTTAATCATAAATGTAGACAAAGCCCTGGCCAGTGTGGCTCAGTTGGTTGGAGCATCATCCCATAAACCAAAGGGCTGCGGCTTCAATTCCCAGTCACAGCACATCCCTGGGTTGCGGGTTCGGTCCCTGGTCTTGGCACAGACAAGAGGCAACAGATCGGTGTTTCTGTCTCACATAAATGTTTCTCTCCCTCTCTCGCTCCACACCCCCGCCCCATCAAAAAACCAGTAAGCATGTCCTTGGGTGTGGATAAAAAAAATGTACACAAAATATGGAAAGAAGTAGAATATAAAGGGGTATAATTTCCACAACCTAAGTGATGAAGGTTTTATTAAATATATAAAAAATTGCAGAAACCTTAAGAATAAAATTAATAAGCCTAACTAGATTAAAAACCACCCAAAAATCTTCTAAAAGCCTAACAAACCAAAAATCAATTCCAACAAAATATTTTAAGGAAAAGACATATTAATTTTCTGAAAAGGCTCATTAATAAATGTACATTAAAAGGAAACCAAATATGAAAACAAAGGAACATGCTGGTCCTTAAAAAAAAGCGAAAGAGAAATGATAAATAAGATTGGTGCGGGGCTGTAGACACACACATTCTGGTGCTCTATTGGTGTCTCATTTAGGAATATTTCTAAAATTTTAAATAAGCATATCCTTTGACTCAGCAATTCAACTTTCAGGAATTTATAATCCCAAATTTACTTGTCCGAAACTGCAAAGACATTTTTACAAGAATGGTTACTGTAACATTATTGTAAAGGTTTTTTCAAAAAAAAACTGGCGCTGGCCAAGTGGCTCAGTTGGTTGGCACGTCCTCCTGTGCACCAAAAGGTTATGGGTTCAATCCCCAGCCAGGGAGCGTACAGGAGGCAACTGATCAGTGCTTCTCTCACACCAACCTCTCTCTCTCAATCCCCCTCTACCCTTCCTTCCTCGCCACTCAATACCCGCACCCTCGGGTGAGGGTGGAAACAGATGCAATGAAATAGAAGGCGCTGAGCCCGTGCACAAGAGCTCCGTCGTGGCCCGGTCACGTCCCAAAGGCCCCGCCCCTGACACCATCACACTTGTCATTGGGTTTCAACACAGAAGGGGAGGCAGGGGAGACCTGCAAGCGCCAGTAGGTCCCCATGGCATCTTTCAAAGTGTTCACAGCAGAGTTCCCCCCGAGGCCCTAGCCGAGTTAGGACGCCTCGCACCTCATCGTCATGCTGCTCGGAGGCCAAGCTCAGCACCGTCTTGCACTGCGCCACGAAGGCGCCCGCGATCAGCTCGGCGTGGCTCAGAAACACGGGCACGTCGTCCTTGCTCAGGGGCTCCTCGCCCGCGATCTTGGCGATTATAACGTCCAGCAACGTCACCCTGTACAACAAAGTCATTAATGAACACGCGATACTGAAAGTCTACCATGTTAGAAATATTCGTAGAGAACACGTTAAGAGAATATTTTTAATTTTTAAGTTCCTTACTTTGCTTTTATATCTAGCTAGGGAAAATAATTTTTTATGAATAAAATGAATCCTTATCAACTACCTATTTTTTAAAATCTCGATTTCTTTGATGTGACTTGGCCATAGAAAGAAGCATCTTTTTATATCCATTACTTTGAGCCCTGAAATAATTGAACATTTCAGAAATGCTGTCGGTTTTATATTACACCTAGTAATAATAACAACAGCAAAGTTAAGTGTGCTCACATCCACTGCTTACTCGAGTAAAAAAAGCATTTCACACACGTTTTTTCATTTGACCTCCGCAGAAGCTCCGCGGCAGGCATGGCCGTCAGCCTCGCCCGGAGGGTGGGGGAGGAGGCCTCCCTGAGGTCGCTTGCCGGGGGCCACGAGTCGTGCGCAGCTGCATCAGGGTTCAAACTCAGGCTCCTGGGCCAGGCGCCTGGACGGCTGGTTTTACTGTCTTCTCAGGGGGCTGGAGTCCAACCTACGCCATTTTTGACGTCAACATTAATATTATCGATAAACATTTTTATTCAGCAACCTCTTTCCCTCTCTTAGAAGAGACAAGTCACACGCGGGGCCACCTGTCCAGCGCGAATCCAGGAGGACGCTCCTCCAAGTGACGTTCTGACTCGGGGTGGGATGTGTAAATCTTTACTTATTTTATTTACGTGCCAGACGGGGTGTGAGTGCCGGAAACACTCAGCCAGCAGGGGGAAACGCACTTCCGGTAGGCAGGCAGCACTCCTCAATGGAGGACCAACAGGAACTGCTTACTCTTTCGAGTGAGGAAATAAATCTGTTTTGATGGGAAAGATCTCCAGTCTGGAAAAACTACCCACAGGCCTTAACAATGTTCAAAATTCCCAGAACCTCAGACCTCTTGGAACAATTACCACTGCAAACTAAAACCAGTAACCCCTCCTCGGCTGAGTACAAAGGAACAACGCACAGCACGGCATGAGGAGGCTTTACTTCCTGCATTCCCACGGAGCCCTCGGAAACGGACGGGCGCTCACCCTGGGCCACGCCCTGGACTCCCACCTGCCCCGAGCAGGCCGGCTCTCCGGGAGCGCTGGGCCGCGGGGCCCTACCAACTGCGACTGCACAGGGACCCAAAGCTCTGCTCCAAAAACACTCCTTGTGTCTTGGGGTAATGTGGCCGTTACTGCTGGTGTAAGAAGTCATGCTCCTTGGCTTTCCAAAGTTCTGCACTGAAGATATCACTGAAAATGGGTGATTTCACGGAAGAAAGCAACTCGATCAGACGGAGTCACAGGTGTGCAGAGAGCGGTGCGGAGGGCCGAGGAACCAGACGGCCGGCGGGCACTGGGCAAAGGGCGCGGCACGTGCAGGCCTCGAACGGGAGGCAGATCCTGATGGAGTCCCGTGAGGGTCAGGATGGGGGAGGGGGAGCCCGGGGCAGTGGTGACCAAGGTGACCAACAGAGACAGGAAGGCCCAGGGACCCAGGGGGTGAGGAAGGACCTGCATGCAGGAGCCAAGCAAAGGCAAAGGCAGGTTTCGCCTCCATTACACATCCCGCAGAGGCACCCCCTCCTGGGACGGCTCCCCGGGGGCAGCAGGCACGCTCCGCGCTCTGGAGCGTGGTTCTGAGACAGGACGTCTGAGGAGATGGCGAGCGAGCGACTTTGAAGGACAGAAGGGAAAAGTCAGAATTGAATCTTTAAAATATAAAATATAAAAATATAAACCAAGTTTAACTATCACCTGAGAATAAACCACACTCCATTAGATGATGCTACTTACGTTAAGTCACCTGCCATTAAAACGCTTTCACTGGCTCCCACTGGTGGTGAGTGGGCCCATTTCCTGGGCAGCCACCAAAACAAACTGAGGACACTCGTCCGTCAAGACACATGCACCCCTCTGCTCGCCGGAGCGCCGTCCGCGGGAGCCGAGCCACGGGAGCAGCCCGAGTGCCCCTCGGCCGGCGGCGGGATAGGGACGGCGCGGCGCACGTCCTTACGCAGTGGAGTACGGGGCGGGCCAAAAGGTGCGTGTGGCTTCTAAGTAAAAACGAAGGACACGTTTCTCATTCTCACCAACACCTCTGTTGGACCACGTAGTCGCCGTTTCGTTCCACTACCTTCTGCCGTCTTGCAGGCAACTTCATAGATCCACCTTGCCAAAACCTTTCACCCTCTTGAGCAAGGAGCTGCTCCCGATGCCTTTCGCAGTCTCCCAGGGACCTGAAGTTTTTCCACTGCAGAATCTTGTAAAGACCGAAATAAATGGAAATCCAAAGGTGCAGTGTCTGATGAATACGGTGGACAAATCAGAACGTCTCAGCCAGGCTGTAACAGTTTTTGCCTGGTCGTCAAAGAAACATGTGGTCTCGCTACTCCTGGTGGAAGAGTCTGCGTTTTCTGTTGACCAGTTCTGGACGCTTCTCGGCGAGTGCCGCTCTAGGTCGGTCTGACTGGGAGCAGGACGTGCTGGAACCAATAGTCCTGTTTCCCGGAAGAAGCTCATAGTAGAAGAAGACTCCCTTCCAGCCCCACCACATACACAGCATCGCCTTCTTCAGATGCAGATCGGCCTTTGGTGTGGTGGGTGGTGGTTCATGTCGCTGCCCCACGATCTCTTCCATTCCACATTATTGCAAAGCACCCACTTTTCATGGCCCATCACAATTTGCTTTAAAAACGGAACATTGTTACATTTAAGCATGAGGAAATATAGTCAAGGTTTTTTTCACTTAAATTATGCAGAACCCAAACATCAAAGCGATTAACATAATAACCAAGCTGGTGCAAAAGATTTTCAATGCTTATTTGGATATGTTGAGGATGTCAGCTACCTCCCACATGGTACAACGTACATTGTTCTCACTCAGCGTCTCAATCTGATCGCCGTCAACTTCACCTGGACTACCCGGCGGAGGAGCGCCGTCCAGCAGGGAACCGCCAGCATGAATCTTCGCAAACCACGTGTGAACGTTCGGTCGGTCACAGCACCTTCTCCACACGCTGCACAGATCTCTTTTTTGAACTTTAGTTGCATTTTTACCTTTCTTGAAATAATAAAGCAAAATATGCCAAAAGCATTGCTTATTTCTTCCATCTTTAATACTAAAACGGCCACACAAAAGTTCACCAATTTTGATAAGTTTTTTTAAATGCAAGATGATATGACAGCTGTCCCGATACAATCTAAGAAAACTGCTCTGAATGAAGTCAAAGACAACTAAGCACTACTACAGCCATCTTACAGAAAAAACAAACGAACCTTCTGGCCAGCCCCACACTCCTCAGCTCTAACAAGCGAAATGCCACTGCCTGCCACGACACGGGCGCCGCCGCCAGAGTCCCGCTGAGTGAACTACAGCAGGCGGAAACGGACAAGAACCACGGGCTCTCTCTCCCAGGTGGGGTGTACAACGAAAAAGAACACACAGACAAACAAAAGACACAGAGAGCAGAGTGGTGGCTGCCAGGGGGGACTAGTGGAGTGTGACATGTCACAAATAAAGTCACACACCTGAAACTTATATTAATGTTACCAACCAGTATCACCCAAATAAACTTATTTTTAAAATAATTAAATTTCTAAAAGGGGTGGGTCCAAAACTTTTACCCTCGTACACGGGCCCTCCCCACCAGAGTGCTCGCCCAGCTCCGCACTCCCTCTGCCTCTGGCCGCGGTCAGAATGCCGCCCTTTTCTCAGAGGAAAGGAATCACACCTACGGCACACAACTCAAGCAGGAAATTCTTTCCCAAATCACTTACTTCAATTGTTCATCACACTGGCCATCCCTATCTCCATTCCAGAAAACGTGTGCACTGAAATGTACTGTGCAGTCAGGGGAAATGGGACACACAGTGGAGTGTCTTTCCTCTTCCGGTTGGGGGAGAGGGTGCACGCGACACCCCCGGAGGACAGCGGAACGCAACGGTCTGCCACACGCAGTTCGTCACTGACTTCTTCCCGCAGGCGCGAGGGGCGAAAGCAAGGAAGGCCCAGTCAGAGAGGCCGGAGGCTGGCTGTCTAAAACCACCCACGGCGGAGGGACAGCCCTGCGCCCGCCAACCCGGAAAGCACCACTCGGGCCGCCCCAGGGCTGCCCAGCCCCGGCCCCTCAGGCCAGAGTCAAGCTCCCGTGACCTTGCCTCCCAGCCCCTGGAGGCACTAACACTCTATTCCCCACTCGCTTCTGATTCAACAGGTACGTGCTCTGTCCTCAGAATCACGACTCCTGTTTCATTTTTTTAAAAACAGCAATGTAGATGTGAAGAATTTTAGAAAAAAATTATACAGCAAAATTTTTATTTTATGCTTAAATTGATGCAGGCTATAATTTTAAAAGTCATGCTTGTACCATCCTGAAAAGTGTTTTTGTTTTTTTTTTATCAGAGGGCTGGAGTAAAAGGCAAAGAAGGAAGGTGAAAGAGTGAGTGAGGTTTATGAGAATTCTAGGGCAAGAAACAACATTCTGTAATTCTGAAAGTAAGATATCGAGTTCAAATTCAGGCTGACGTGTCCAGCCATTTTCATTTATTGACTGACTGGATTTAGAGAGAGAGGGAAAGAAAAAACACGGATTCAAAGTCCCACTTGTGCACCCATTCACTGCTTGATTCTTGTGCGTGCCCTGACTGGGGATCGAACCTGCAACCTTGGCGTATCGGGATGACACCCTAACCAACTGAGCTCCCCAGAAGGGCGCACACCTCCAACGGACTTTGAATTCACCTTTGCGCTCCTCCACATGAACAGTGTGTTGAACGGAGTGCTACAGAGGCCAAAAATGTGGTAACCTGGGACAAGCAGCTAACCAAGACACAGGCAGACACACAGCTGTGGCTGAATTTATCTCACTGGTGCCTCAGTGAACGCCAGACGCCAGAGGCACCTGTGCTGCAGGGGCAAGGTCACCGATCTGGG